CATTGTTCTACAATAGGGACTAGCGGCAGTTCTGTAGTACATAGGTATAATAAGTAAAACAGCCCTAACTACAAAAGGCTACACAATGGACGATGTTTACTTTGGCAACATTAACCAAGCGGCGTTTTTATAACATTTTAAATAAACATTGTCCAATCATAACATAGAGATTGATATGTAACCATCCAATATCGCTGCAACATATATAATTTAGTTAAACCAATTACTATAGTTTTTTAAATGAACTAATGTGTCAACATGTGCGTTTTGGCTATACTTAAAATTTTGTTTATTGAATGGCCCCTATATATATACAGTGTGTTTCATAATATATGCGCAGGACTTCAAGATGTGATAGCTCATCCAAAAAGATGAAAAAAGTCGCTATTAGCTTACCCTCTAAAATGCACAATTTTCGAGATACAGGGGGTTGAAATTTTAGAAAAAAAATCGTTTTTTTCGAATATCTCTGGAACCGTTTGTCGTACAAAAAACAGCTTTTGTAAGCATTTTCTACTCATAATAAGCTATGTTTTGTGCCAGAAAAAAATTTTTTTTACTCATAGTTGGTGGAGATTTTGAAGGGGTAGCGGGTGTTTTTCTCCTCAACTTCAACGCCCCTGAAAAAAGTACGGTTTTGAGAGGCCCATTCGAACCGACAATGTTTTCTACACAAAAAAGGTACTTTTGGTCGTAAGCTCTAAAGTTGACCGTTTTCGAGAAAAATCAACTTTTATATTTAAAAACATGTTCAATTTTTTGAAAAAAAAATTTTATTACTAATTAAACAAAATTTATTTTAACGTTAGAAAAAGTAACAAAACCAAACGATAATTGCAAAATTAAAAAAAAAAATAAAAAATGATTTTTTACACAAATGCTGAAATGTTCGAAATGCGTTACCTTTACGGTTTGGAGAATTTAGCAAAGACAACTTTTGAATCATTTTTTATTTTGCAATTATGGTTTGGTTTTGTTACTTGTTCTAACGTTAAAATAAATTTTGTTTAATTAGTAAAAAAAAATTTTTTTTTTTTTTAATTGACCATGTTAAAAACCATAAAAGTTGATTTTTATCTAAAACGGTCAACTTTAGAGCTTATGACCAAAAGTACCTTTTTTGTGTAGAAAACATTGTCGGTTCGAATGGGCCTCTCAAAACCGTACATTTTTCAGGGGCGTAGAAGTTGAGGAGAAAAACACCCGCTACCCCTTCAAAATCTCCACCAATTATGAGTAAAAAAAATTTTTTTTCTTGCACAAAACAGCTTATTTTTAGTAGAAAATGCTTACAAAAGCTGTTTTTTGTACGATAAACGGTTCCGGAGATATTCGAAAAAAACGATTTTTTTTCTAAAATTTCAACACCCTGTATCTCGAAAATTGTGCATTTTAGAGGGTAAGTTAATAGCGACTTTTTTCATCTTTTTGGATGAGCTATCACATCCTGAAGTCCTGCGCATATATTATGAAACACCCTGTATAAACGTTGTATATATTATAACAGATTTTAGGTTGTTTTTTATTTGAACACATTTTATTAGTTTGGGTGGTAATTTGTTTTCATAAAATAAAATAAAAATGGGGCTTTTACTAGCCGAATATGAAAATTAACATTTTCAAAATAATAATATTATCAATTCTACATCTTTCATATTATGAAAGAGGTAGAATGGATAATTTTATAAAATATTAGGTACCTACCTATATAATAAAATATTGGCCCCATTTATGCCATTTCAAAAGCGTTTTCTTATGGTCAAAAACGTAATAAGGTAAGGTAAGTAAGGGGTATTTTATGTCCAAATCAAAAATATTAGTAAAGGCTCGCCAATACAACATTATTATTCAACAAAATCTCTAAATCAAAAATAAAACATTGTAGGTATAGCCAAAATCCATCTACCTTGGTAAAAAAATAAATATAAACTTATTGCACCAACATTGGATAAAATTTATGGTTAGGCCAGAAATACAACAAAATATTCAGTGGATAACATTAATATTTTTTTAATCACTCATACATTTGCACATTAAGACAAAGCCATTGGATACAATGATTTTTTATTAATATTTACAACACTATAATATTATGTAGATGTGATTCTTATTAAACTGCCATTGTTTACAAGATTTATCTATTTAAACTCGAAGACGAGATTTGGCAATACTCATTTTTCAGGGTGTTCCTTTATTTATTTATATATTTAACTTTAATTAATTTTGTTATTAGTTTTACGTCTAATGTTACATTCCAGCGAAAATATAAATCTAAATTTATAAAGATTGCTGTCTAAAAATAAAAACAGATTTAGACACCCACTTTCTCTACTTTTTGGATCACACTGTACAAACAAATGTATTATGTATAAATATAAAGTATGATTACAGATGATTTTTGCTTTTAGCTCTATCTAATACTAAGAATAATTAAAAAATAACAACTTCGACATCTGCCACCTGTGCAAAACGGTATTGTTTTAAAAAAATAGTGTTTACATAAATAGATTTCAGATCTAATTCCAATTTTAATAAATTTGTATCAAAGGTGTAATAAACAAATTTGAATAAGTCTTACATCAACAATAGCTGAAATTTTCGATTTTTCTCTGATTGGAGAGGATTAGTCTCTGCGTCAGGAATACGAAAATAAACTGATGAAATGTTCAGCACCGTAATAATACATAATACCAAATAAGGGATGCACTTCAATTAGTGTTACTTATCAATACAATTTTGCATTACACTGTTAACTAATTAGGTAAAAATACTTTAAAAATAAAGCTTGACCGCAAAGCACCACAAAGGACAATACAAACCTACTCTTAAACTAAAATAAAAGTGATAATTTGGACAATAAGTTTAGTTTAATATATTAACTCATTTATGACGATTTGCAGATGGTACACTAACCTACACAATGTACTTTTTGACATTGACATTGGTGGAAGTAGTGTGGGTATACAAACAGACATTTTTTAAACACTTTTGGGATACAGCAAATACCAATTTACTTATTAATATCTACCTATCTAAAGCTAGTAGTATTAAAGGGTAAATTCAATTGGGGTTTTGTAAATAAAGAAAAATCTCAACCAATTTCTTCAACTTTAAATTTAACCATGAAATAAATAGTAATGCAATATTTTAATAGAAAGTTTTGGATATGAACTATTGGTAAAGAGAATTTCTGTAATTCTCATGCTTAGTTAACAAAAATTTAGTGTAAAATAATTATTGTATTAGGTTGCTGATCAATCTATAACAAACGGAAAGGGTTACAAAAATATGTGGATTTACTCCTATTGCATAATATTGGATTTTTCCGTGAATAATGATAAACATTCCTCAGTGATTAGCCGTTTTAATATTCACTGTGATTTGAACGAATTGGGTTTTAAATTGGGAGAAGGCGATTATAATAACATTTAAAATTGGCAAAAAGTTTACCATTTGACAGATGTCAGATTTTATTTATTTATTTTTGAAAATCAGTATTCACTCGGATGGTTTAAGTCGAGGGGTCAACCACACCTAGGAATACCTGGACATTTTAGAGGGGGAATAACATAGGAATACATGGGAATGCATGGGTATACATGGGAATCCCTGGACGTTTTTCCTTTGGGTGGTTGACCCCTCGGGTTAAGTCTCTCGTCTGGCGACTCGAGGCGCAAACCTCATTCTCCTGAATAATAGCCTGCATTATATTTTGTTTAATAATATACTATTATTGAATCTAATAACATTAATTTATAATACCTATAGTTATTTCTTGGATAAACAAACTGTAAGTAAGTTTTTTTGTATTAAATTTACTGAACATGGTTCGTTAGATAGATAGGTAGATAGATAGAAATGTTATGTTTGTTATTTTAAAAAATTATCGTTTTTCTAGGTAGGTCTCATATAAATTTATAAATTTGTCCAAATTATCTCTACATACAAACATTTAGATAATATGAAAAAAAACGCAACACCAATATCATTACCAAGACGATGCGTCATTGGATGGCCCTTTTCCAAGATGGTTCATAAAAATCTATAGCTCGCCACTTTCAGAAATAAAATTATTAAAAATATAAACCCATTGGTGTTGCATTTTTTACGCTCAATAGGTACCTTTAGGTACTACAGAATCAACATAATAAGAAAAAATTAAGTTAAAATCACAATCCCATTCAGGTGAAAACATATAAATTTAACAAATTATAAAAGTTAAAATGATAAATTTTAATAGAATATTTTTTTGAACAATGGCCAAGGCAAATTAAAAATACCTAAATGCCTACAAACAAAATAAAAATTATTTTCATACAATAAATTTAAAAGCAGATTTATCTGCATTTAAAGATAAGTAAATATAAATAACAATAGAATAAAAAATATGAAAAAATAAATTTTAAAAATACATTTTAAAAGCCTAGGTAAAAAGTTTAGCATGTTTAGCATGAACAATCTGTAATTTGTATGTTATTATTTTGCTATTAAATGATTAAATAATAAAATTTGGATACACCATGTTATTATGTTTATCACCTTTTAATAGGAAATTTCTATAAATATGAAATATGTATATTAAGTATATAAGTTACAAATAAAGTTTTAAAGTAAAAATATTACATTTATCATATTTATAGGATTTTTAAATAATTGACTAGTATTTAGATATTCATTTGTAGACATGCAAAAGGGCAAAATGTATTATCTCCATAAAATATTTAGTGCAAGTAGAAACTATTTAAAATCCAAAAGCAATGTTTTTGCTACAAAATAAAATAAAGAACATTCTTTATGGGCTGTATATCTCGGGAATTCGCAAATATTTTAAAAACTGACTAGTTATATTTTATACCAATGTATAAAGATAATTAATGAATATTATTTTAGTCATTTAAAAGATACACAAATTTCTCCCCTTATAAATTTAATGATTATAATCATAATTATAGGTAATTATAACAGCAAAAATATTGAATTTAAAGTTTTTTCTTAACCAAGGGAAATTAGATAATATATTATATTCTAAAATTAGATTGAAATCTCTGCACTTAGATAATAAAAAAAGAGCACTATTTAATGTAAATAGTGTAAGAGAACTACTTTAGTTAAATTTCATATTTTACAATATTTACAACAATGACTAACTAAAAATTAATACAATTACATACTTCTCCATCTTGTATAATACTTAATCTGATTATTTACTGTACCTGTGGCTAGGTACAGATTCCCCATATCCATATTAAATAAATAACGTTTGATTGGTGGTGATGGATAATGCAGAGACGTCAATCATCGCGAAAGCACAGGGCAGATGCTGGAAGATGCTACTGGCAACAAACACAATACTCATTTAAAACTCTGCAAACTCTTTAGCACACTTTTCCGTTGATGAGATGCGCAATGCCTCCTCCTCATAGTCATCAAAATTACTTGTGTCACCAGGTCCTTTACATCTGGGTATGAAAGGTGCTTCAATTTTTTTCTGAAATATTGCAATCCAATCAGTCGAGGCAAACCATTTGTGACCTTTAATGTCATTGACTCCAGCCTTGAGGTTGCCATAACGTTTGGTAAGGTCTACTTGCAAGAGGTTACGTAGAAGATCCTTCAAATCAGAACCAAAATGTGATGGAAATCTGACTTTTCCTGATACAATTTTTTCATAAATTTGAATTGGCTGGTCAGCAAAAAATGGAGGATACCCTGCCGCCATTTCATAAACTAGTACCCCCAGAGCCCACCAATCTACAGCCTTATTGTAACCTTTGCTTAAAATAATTTCAGGGGCCAGGTATTCAGGAGTTCCACAAAGAGTCCAGGTGCGACCCTTTACCCTTTTGGCAAAGCCAAAATCTGTTACTTTTAAATAACCCTGTGAATCTATAAGTAAATTTTCTGGTTTTAAATCTCTATAAATTAAATCCAAGTAATGGAGATACTCAAAGGCCAGCACTATCTGAGCAGCATAGAACCTTGAATGGGGCTCTGAAAAACGACCGACCTTTCGCAAATGTGAAAACATTTCTCCTCCAGGCACATACTCAAGCACCATGTAAAGATTTGAATTGTCTTTAAAATGAAATCTCAGACTTACAAGGAATGGAAAACTTATGGCTTGCAGAATGCGTTTTTCATTGAGGGTATGTTCCACCTGTTTAAGTTTGACAACCTTTTGTTTATCCAGTATCTTCATGGCATAGTACTCTTTGGTGGGTTTGTGCTGCACTATCATTACCCTTCCAAAGGAGCCAGTACCCAAGGTCTTGATTCTCTCGAAGTCATCCAAAGCGGCCGTATTTGTCGGGTTCTTCTTCCATTTCTCCTCGAAATCCTCCTTAGCCTGGTCGAGAAATTCCTTCACACTCTCAGCTGAGTCCACTTTTTTGTTCGCCGTAGCGGCATTATTGCCCATGGTGTGTACTTTTAAACCTTCCAGGGCTTCCAATTTATAACCCGCACTCCGCCCCAAGCACCAAGTGTTTCTCGGTTACAACAGCGAAGAGAACTGAAATGTCACCGTCCTATGTCAACACAACTTGTACACACACATATTTTTCGGGTACACTTTTTCGTCCAAACCACTATCTACAATCCCAAAGTCTCCCAGCTGACACTACCCTTAATTGTGTTAAGTATTTAATAAACAGTACGAAAACGTTAAGTATGAACTACTTCGACTCGTAAAATGGCTGCTCTCAGTGCCCAGATTTTCACTTCATTTCAACACACAAGCTCCACTTATACTTTGAAACTTTAGAATAACATTCACAGATGACACTCAATTATTTTTACGCAGTCAAAATTTAAAGAAATCTTTAATTTAAGCACCACCTATTATTCAGAAATGAAACTACAAAACAAATCAATTACAGTGTTGTCAAAAGTTCTGTTTAAATACATCCTCGAAAATTAAATCAAAGCGGTATTAAATTGAATCTGAAAGCACACAAATATAAATTTGGTACCTCCATTTACATATTATTAAAAACCATGAAAATAAATTATAAAAAATGTTTTTATTATAAAATACAAAAATAACCAGGGTACTTTAAAGTCTAAACTCTAAAGTACCCTGGTTATTTTTGTATTTTATAATAAAAACATTTTTTATAATTTATTTTCAAGGTTTTTAATAATATGTAAATGGAGGTACCAAATTTATATTTGTTTAGACTTAGTTTAGACTGTAGTTGTAACATATGTTACATATAGGTATGTAGTGCTTAATTTGTTATTTTTGCATACCTGGTAATACCAGGCTGGTATAACCACAATACACAAACACCGGTATGCTGGTTCATAAAAAAAATATGCTATTTTATAAATCGAAAACTCGAGTTTTCGACCAGACCATCAGACAATCGTCTGATCCGCGCATGGGACGTCACGTGGGAATTGGATTTAACCGTTTTGAATATGCACGGGTGTTTTCCGATGTTTTCTGTTGATTTTTTCTGCAATTATTGTTTTTTTTCGTAAAGTTTTTGCTGCTTTTGTTGGCCAGCAATAACTAAAGGTAGAATATATTTACAAGGCACGCACGCACTGGTGTTAATTCCATTTAAGGTGCTTCTTTGTTTAAGGTTTATACTTTAAGCTAAACGTCCGTATATTTATAAATTTGGGAATAAAACGTGATTTGGTACTTTCGATTCGCACATGACGTCACATAACACGCGCTATCTCGGGCTCTGGCATCAGCATACCGTGCACGGTATCCCATGGCATCCCGACATCCAGACGCTTGTGCGCTCTCTCACACTCTTTCAAAACATTTCATTGCTTCCACACCACATATTTAGATAACTTAATATGTTTTCTACAAAACTTTATTAAGTATAAATACTATACTACGCGCCAAATGGGGCATGCACGATTTGGCAACACTGCCGATCAAACTGGCTGCGTGTTCCCGGTCCCAAACGCTTTTCATTTTTTATTTTTTTTTAACCGTTATACCTAACAGTTATCTAGATCACAATGGATTTTGATCTAGATTTTAAAAAGTCGGCATTGCAAATAGTCGGTTTTCTCAATGTATTGAAAAATATCTGGAGGGGTTAACCAGCAACAATTGTTGCTGTTTTTATTAACATTTTAGGTATCTATATAAAAAATGTAGGTAGGTATGTAATATAAATTATGTCTGTACCCCAAAGCCAAAATGTAATAAGTTCGCTTTTTTAAAATCACATTACACATTTTTTACCTCCAATTTCGCTCTTTCCTATGAGTTTTTGAATATATCAAAAACAAAATAAGTCAGGACTGTTTACCACTGTATGTAGCGGAAAAGCATTGAAAAAGTATATAGCGGAAAAGTGTAGGCAAAAAACATGGTACCTACAAATATATCAACTTATTAAAAAATAAACTATTGACAAATTAAAAGATTTCTAGTCGAAAGCAAACGATAAATAACGAACAAGGCAGCGTTGTCAGATTAGTTTCACGGCAAGGCAGTAGCACTTATTTGGCAGTAGGTAGATTCGTGAAAAAAACAGTAGAATATTCTATTATATAATAATAAAAATTAAAATTATACATTTATTTTATATTTATCATATTCATGCCGGTAATTTATTTATTTAAATAAGCAAGAGAAAACAAAATTACGAAAGATTCTTTACGCATAGAAAATATTTTGTTCTAAACATAAATATTTTACCCACATTTCTGTAATCATCACCGTGTGATTTTACATAAATACTTTAGCTTTAGTTTTAGAAAGATCCACATATCAAAATACCCTTTTGAGATTTGCCATATTTAATTATTATATTTTCCTTCATTATCATTAATTTTAACCACATATTTTTAGTAAAAATATGTTTACCCTTTCTTTTAAAATAAAAATAAAGTTAAGGGTCCAACTTTAGGCAGTAGAACAGTAACAAAAAAAGTAGACCTGACAACACTGGAGCAAGGTTACCTTGAAAACTCCAGCCAATCAGGGGGCAGGCGCGGTAAGCTTCCTTCCTGCCTCCGACTCTCTCCTTCTCTTTGTCGTTAAGCTTACGAACCTACATAGCGTGCACGCTCCTGACAAATTTGCTGATTTTTTTGTTATTTCAACGAAAAAGTTCAAAAACGCTATACGCAATGGCCGATAAAGTTGCTGAACAAAAGTAAGTACATCAAAATTTAAATAATATTTGATAATTTCGCTAAAAACAGCGTTCTTTGTTTTGGCGGCATCATGGAAAGCAAGTTTGTAACGTACGACACAAGCCGGTAAATCCGGCTCGGCTTTTTTCTATGTTTACGAGGCTTTAGTGCTGCTTTCATTTATGTTTTTTTTTGTTTTGCAGCTTTTCTAAATATTATTGTTTTTTTTTTCATTTTAAAATTAATATTAGGTCAGGAAAAAGACAACGGCAGTTTTCGGCTTTGGTGTTTTAAATAGCTTTATTTTAAGATAATTAAAATCGTAAATAACAAGTGAATTTAACAAAAAATAGGACACAATTTAAAGGCATCTTACCTTACGTTACCTCATTATTAGACTTGAACAATAAATATTATATACCTACCTACTATTATACTTTTGCTTTAAACGGCGCTCTTTTAAGAAAATGTATTTTTAGCGTTTGTAGTGAAAGTAGAAAGTAAATTAACAGCATTTATTAAATTTATTTAAACTTTAGTTGTGAATATTCAACACAAATAAAGGCCGGTGTTTGTATAATAATAAATCAAACAAATTTACATATTTCATGGGTTTTAAATAAATTGTTAAATTCATTTAAGTAGATAATATTCTAATTATTTAAAACAATGTATAGTAATTTTAATGAACTTTAAAGATTGTAGTTTAAATGAGTTTCTTAATACTAAATTATAAACAGGGTGATTCACCTAACTTATTCATTAGAAGTTTATGGAGAACTGAAAAAGATATCGATTTGAAATTTAAATTGCAATTATAAGCTGATGTAAACCACTTTTTAAAATTATTTTCAATGCGTTATCACTTCCGGTTAAACCGTTTAAGCGAAAGCGATTAATAGTATTTGAAAATTTAATACAGGGTGTCTGGTATTTACCTTGACTTTTTTATCACTTTAAATACCAATAACTTTCTTATTTTAAACAAAACTACCATACAATTTTCACTCAACACAAAATAATGTTTTCCATTGAAATGCTGCAGCATTCCCTATACCCAGAATATTTATTTACAGAGATTACAAAAAATGTGAAAAAACCGCTTATTTTTTTATTTGTAATATCAGGAGTGTCTTTTATTTCGTATTTGGATAACGCTTATCGAAAAAGAACCAAACGCCAAAAACTTTTTGGGCTTTGTAAAATTATTTGTAAAATAACCAGGGTTCGCAGAATATATATCGGATATATATATATATATATAATGAGTTATTTTCAGGGTTCGAAAATATCATGATATTTATATAAATATCCGATATATATGAATGATATATATATATCTTTGATATATATCGGATATTTATACAAATATGATATTTTCGAACCCTGAAAATAACTCATTTTTAATAATGCTCAAAAGGTTGATCATCATTTGGAACTTTTCTAAAAAGGATTGAGAGGGTTCCCAAACCATTAATTTTTAATTTTTTGAGCAGCATTAAAAATGAGTTACTTTGAAAATAATTTTGTTTGCCCCAGAAAAAGTTGTTGGCGCTTGGTTCCTCTTTGATAAATGTTATCCATTTATGAAGTAATGATAATTCTTTAACGTTGTTTAATACGAAATAAAAACAATCCAACGCACAATACTGATATTACACATTAAAGTTGGTTTTGTTCTTTTTAACACTTTTCCGCACTCTATATGTATAAATATCAAATATAATATCTTGTTTAGGGCCAGTATATTCACCTTCCACTAAATTTACCCAATGCTTAATTGTCATAGTTACAATTGTAACACAATTGTCGGAGACGTTGACACTGACATTACTTCATAAATACGAAATAAAAGACGATCCAACGCACACTACTGGTATCACATTTTTTGTAGTACCTAGATATCTGTAAATATTCATTTTAGTTATAGGGAATGCTGCAGCATTTTAATAGAAAACATTATTTTGTGTCGAATGATGTAAAAATTGTATTATGGGGCCATTCCAAGCCCATGGACAGGACACATCAGAAACATGTCTAAATATATTCTTGTTACTTCCTTAAGTTTACTTATTTTTTCTACGAGTATTTATGAGAAGTATTAGCGAAATTTGGCTAATACTTCTCATAAATACTCGTAGAAAAAATAAGTAAACTTAAGGAAGTAACAAGAATATATTTAGACATGTTTCTGATGTGTCCTGTCCATGGGCTTGGAATGGTCGTATGGTAGTTTAGTTTGAAATAAGAAAGTTATTGGTATTTAAAGTGATAAAAAAGTCAACATAAATACGGAAAATTTTCAAATATTAATGGATTTCTATAGAGTGCTCCTTAGTTAACTGGTTCGTTAAGTATAAATTAAGTTTATTTCTTATGTTTTATACAGTGATTTTATAAACGCAAGATTGCAGGTCTACACATTTATCAAAAAATTGCAAATTAAAAATTTAAATATTTTTCAAACAAATTAACATATTTTATAAATTTAAAATAAATTCATTTAAGTAGATAATATTCTTATTATTTAAAACATGTTTTTAAGTTCATTACAATTGTAATGAACTTTAAAGATTATACTTTCAATGAGTTCCTTAAATAGGTTTATTTCTTATGTTTATACATTGAGTTTATAAATGCAAAATTACCTACACATTTATCATAAAATTACAAGTTTAAATATTTTTCCACTTGCCAGAGAATGGGGTTGGAACAATTTTGTATATTTGGAATTCACGCATACGAGTTTGATATTAAAATGTTTTTTCTACTCCCACCTTTAAAACGCCCATTATCGTACATGTTTCCATGACACTAAGTGACCTTTTAAATACACATTGAAAAGTTGTGTCTTTATGGCGAATTAGTCATAAAAGGATAAATTTCGATTTATACATAAAAATTTTACATTTCGACCGGCGCGCCGGTCATACAGATGACCAAGTTATAATGGTTACTCTATTGTTTCATAGAGGTCGCTTTGTACAAATATTTAATTTAAATCATTTTTACATAATATTAAGTAGGGATGCACCGGAATTCCGGCGGTACCACTAAATCCGGCCAGTTGGCCGGAACTACCGTTCCGGCCGGATCGCTTTCCGGCCGGAATTTTCGGAACTTTTTGGAAATGTTTAAGTTTTAAATTTTTAATATAATTTAAATTCAAATATATGCAAAAATAAAGAAAATTATTTTAAATAAATAATGAAATGACCTGCAGCCCTGTGCCTTTGCTTATGATTAGCAGGCGTCTGGGATTTCCCGACTTTCGCGTCTGTGATTCCCCGACTTTCGCGTCTGGGATGCCCCGACTTTCGACCAGATATATTTTATAATTGGTCAACAGTGAAGGGTGTGCGTGTTTCTTTGCCTATGATAGACCGGCGGCTGTAGTTCCCCGACTTCTTCTTAATTTTTTTATTATTGGCAGGCAGAGCTATGCGGTACTCGAGTACAAGTACTCAAACACTGTACTCCAAGTACTTTCAGTGTACCTGGTACTCAGTCCCGAGTACTTTAATTTGAATGTACTTATACTTGTACTTGATACATTTAAGATTGCAAAAATGTACTCGAGTACTTTCCCGTGTACTCGAGTTCTTTCCCGTGTACTCGAGTACTTTTACGTGTCCTCGAGTACATCCAAAGTATGCAATGAGTACATTTTTATGCAGTGAGGTTGGCGTGGACCTTAGAAGAAAAAACAACGCGGGACACATATGTGCGTGGGTGTTGAAAATTTGGCAATACTGCTCAGACTTGTCAAATTACGGACATGCTGCCTGAGTCAGCATCAGCCAGCTTGACTCACACGACAGCCTTAAAACAGCCTCAATCAATAAATAAAAAGACACAAAAAAGAGCATTGAACAAAAAGTTTTTACTTATGTATGAAATGTAATTTTGTTTATATTTTGGTAGAAATAAGGTGACAATATTCCTCAAAAAGATAATAAAAAAATAAAGCTAAGGCAAAGTGAAACATGATACTAGCCGGCCTTGATAATTAACATAAAGCGAAATATCAATATTTGATAAAGGCAATAGGCCGGCTAGTGTTTAGTTTTGCACTAGTGATTCTAAATTCATTTCTTATTCGCCCCATTTCTCTAGCATTTTTCCCAACATTTCATAACTAAAGTGTACTCGGTACTTTGTACTCGTATGGGTACTCGAGTACAACGGTACTGTACTTGTACTTGGTACTCGAGTACTTTTATATAAGAGTACTTGTATTCAGTACTCGAGTACTTTTTCATTGTACTCGGAACAGCTCTGTTGGCAGGTGGCTGCTATTCTCCAATTGAATGAGTAGAATTGTTTTAATTTTGTTAACGCTAATTACAAATTAATATTTAAATAAACAGTAATTTCTATCTAGGTAAAATTAATAGTAATAAACACTCTGCATACTGTATGTTTAAAAAAAATTAAAAATAATTCAGCCTCAATATTTTCAATGTTTTACGTATAAAAATAGGCATGCACATACATTTTAAATTTAGGTCCCGATCCGGCCGGAATTCCGGCGATCCGGTCCGGCCAGCGGCCGAAATTCCAGTTCCGGTCGGATCGGCAAAATACCCGATCCGGTGCATCCCTAATATTAAGTATTTGTCGTGAAAAAAGTATAGTATGCAACTTGTTTATAAACTTGTAGCTACTCATTTAATTAAACACTCGCCCGCAAGCTCGCTTGTGCCTAATTAAACTTCGTGACTAATATCGCGTTTATCAAAGTTGATACATAATATACTATTTCCTACGTTTCTTAAATAATTATTAAGAACGCAACAGCGTTTTAAAAACCTTGAGATTTAAAACCCTTCGATGACCTTGTAGAGAGATCGTGACGTCACGATGTTATAACAGATTTTTCAAGAATTACAAATGAATCCAAAATCTGTTTTTAGCATGGTTTCTAGGTTATGTTCAATATTTTTTTAGTATTTAGTATAAGTATTTAATTTAAATTAAATCTTTTCAAAATCGAGCAAAAGTAAACACTAGAGGTGCAAATATAAAATTTTAGAAAAAATTTTATGAACTTTATACTAAAATACGCTGTTAATGGTTAGTAATGTAATGTAAAAAAACTTTCGTTAAAAGTAGTACACTCATTAAGTTGTTATCTAAAACTTAAAAGAACATGCTCATAAAGTATCAATATCAAGATTTTTTTGTATTTAATATTAATATATTGTTTCTTTATAGATCTGAAAAAAACACTGTTGAAGAAGTATGTGAAAAGGTGTGTGAAAAACCCAAAGTTGTGGAAATTGTTGAGGAGGAGGAAGAATCCAAAGTGGAAAACGGCGATGCCAAAGCCGAAAATGGAGACTCCAAAGACAAGAAAGAATCTAAGAAAGAGGAAGAATCTGAAAAGAACGGTGATGAAGCCGAAAAAGAAGGTATGTGGAAAATCTTTAATTTTATTTGTTGATCAATTTTATAAAAAAAATTATTACAGATAAATGTTGCATAAAGAGAAAATCCACCTCTGGTGAAGCTAAAGACACACCAGCTGAGGGCACCACACCAGAAAAGAAAGCCAAATTAGATGAACCTGCAGAGGCTGAAGTAGCAGCCTAAAGAAATTTTAGATTTAAGTTTTTATATGTATAATGGTAGGGTTAAGTTTATGGTAGCTGCTGGCAACCCTAACGTTACACATGTATTTTAAAACATGACACCACTATCATTTAGGAGATTGCATTTATTTTATTATAAAAAATTATTTTGACTTTCATGTGATGTAACACTGATGTTGATATTCTTTATTTTTAAAAGTCTAAAGCAGTGTCTAGCGGTGCGATTTGTACTTAATTTTTACTTTAATTGACAACTATATTAGTTCCCAGTAAATTTGTCCTGTGTTGTGTAATTGAATGTATTATATAGAAGTTTATGGATTCTGTTAATGTAAAATGTGGTGAATCTCTTAGGAGCCAGCTCTGCCATTACCTTACTAACAAATGGTTTCTAAATGTGTTCATATCAAACATACTAATTTTATACTGCTTTCTTTTATAATAAATTCATTTAAGGGATGTGTTGAAAATTTGCCAACTAACAGTATTTTATGATATAAATATTTTTCTAAGCTAAAGCGACTTTACTTTTTGTGGAGCACTAAAAACAATACCAAACAAAAGTGCTAAATATTTTGCTATTGATGCTAATTTTTCAGTCAAGCTGAGTGTATGCAAAAAATAAAGCCACTTTAATTTAGGTTGCATGGTACAAAACGTTTTTGTATTTTATTAGCAGAATGGCAATAAAGAGTTAGTTTCAAGTATTTTTAGTTTTAATATCGTTAATTTCATAATTTAGTACTTGTTTATCAAAGTTAACAGTTCATATAATTTAACTGTTCACCCAATTTGACAAGGGTGCATGTTTAAAAAAACAAAAGTATAATGTTTATATGTGACCAATATGCCTAACATGAATTTGAAATAACTATATCTAAACCCAAGAGCAAAACTATTGAGTCCACTTTTTCAAAATAATGTTATTATATTTTTTGCCTACGTTTTGCGCTCTTTCCAATGGTAAACAGGATTAAGTCCTGACTTAATTAGTTTTTGATACATTGAAAAACTAATAAGTAAGACAGAACCTAATCCTATTTACCATTATATTATATTATAAACTATAGTTTGGATCTGTTATATCACTGCCCAAAATGCCCCTTTCCATACGGTACAAGATATACAGGGTGTCACCAAATAAGTTGTCATCCTTTAAGGGGATGATAGTACACGCCAAAATAAGAAAGTTTTTCCTCTATCACTTTTGCAGTACCCTACTAAAAATGACGGATGATTGCGTATATAAATTCTTCGTCGAACCGGAAAAAACAAATTAAAGCAGGTAAAAATATCATCTGATAACATCTGCTTTTGTCCGCATCGCGATCACCCGGTTGGTTGTGTTTTATGTCCGGTTAGTGCACCCCCGCAATCATCTGAAATTATCTGTTTTTAACCGTCTCCACTGCGTTTATATCTGAATTTGTTCGCGTTTACCTGCATTTTTTTCGTCTATTTTTGTCTGCAAACGTCTGGTTTTATCCGCGAGCATCTGCTTTTACCCGCAAACGTCTGCCTAGTCCAATTTAAACGCAAACATCTGCTTTTATCCGCGAACATCTGCTTTCATCCGCGATCATCTGCTTTTATCAGCAAACGTTTGATTTTATCCTGTTTTACCCGTAAACATCTTTATCCGCGAACGTCTGCTTTCATACGGTTTTACCCGCAAAAATATGCTTTTATCTGCGAACGCCTGATTTCATCTGGTTATTGCGCCCCCGCAATCATCCGTAATTATCTGCTTTTGACCGGCTCTACTGAGATTTGTTTATATCTGCATTTGTCCGGGAGCATCTGCAAAGGTCTGGTTTTATCCGCAAGCATCTGCTTTTACTCGCAAACGTCTTCCCAGTCCAATTTAACCCGCAAACATCTGCTTTTATTCGCAAACATCTGCTTTTATCCGCCTACATCTGCAATCACCCGCGAACATCTCCTTTCATCCGCGAACATCTGCTTTCATCCGCAACTCAGTATGCACAAGCTAGCTGGCCCGAATACGTTTTGCCGAATCGGCCGCGTGCCTTCCGGCTTGTAAAACGGGCATGTCCGCCTGGCCAACTGTCGGGCATATCCGCCTGGCCGAATGTCTGCCAGTGGCGGGTGGTATAATAGTTTATAATGACATTAAATAGACAAGTTCGGCGCAAACAGAATTTAAATTGAAGTTTGCGAAAAAAAGTTAACTTTTCCTGTTGAATTACCCCCCTCCAGGCACCCCTATTTAAGATAATTCAAATTAAAGTGGTGCAATTTATTATCTACTATAATTTATCGACAAATTTAAAGTTTTATTTAAAAAATCCAAATGATACTGGTTTTATACCATTTTAAATATTTTTGTATTTTAATAAAATAATTTATTTTATTTAAATAAATAATAAAAATTTAAAATCGAATAAAATCTGTAATATTTGGATTTTTTAAATAAAATTTTAAATTTGTCAATAAATTATAGTAGATAATAAATTGCACCACTTTAATTTTAATAAAATAATTTATTTTTTTTAAATAAATAATAAAAATTTAAAATCGAATAAAATCTGTAATATTTGGATTTTTTAAATAAAATTTTAAATTTGTCAATAAATTATAGTAGATAATAAATTGCACCACTTTAATTTGAATTATCTCAAATAGGGGGGCCTGGAGGCGGGTGAGGCGACAGGAAAAACTAATTTTTTTCGCAAACTTCAATTTAAATTCTGTTTGCGCCGAACTTGTTTATTTAATGTCATTATAAACTATTATAAATTTGGTGTGGGTACCATGTCTAATAACTGAGATACTGGTATACATAAAATCCACCAGCCGCCACTGATGTCTGCTATGTTTACTCGGCCGAGTGCCGGCCACAACCGCCTGGCCATTCAAAAAAAGCCTACAGACGTCCAGAAATTCTCTGAATGGCAAGATACTTTTTTAACACACTCGACTAGCTAGACATTATTCGTTACTGAGCAGATCAGGATGAAGATGGCGATTCCAAACAATTCATGTTTAGCTATGCCATTAATACTTAACTCGCGTGCGTAAGCAGCCGTGAGATACCCACACAACACATATATCCATTGGACGTCCAGCTGGACGACCACTGTACATCCAAACGTCCAATGTAAGTCCATTTGACGTCCAATGTATATCGTATATGTATCGCTTATGCCGCGGCAGGCCGCATTCCAGCCGTAAGCAGGCCGGCTAGGGCAAGCCGAAGGATTTTGCAGCGGCATGCCGTATCCTGGCCGACTTCGGTTAGAACATGGCTAAGCGGTACTGGGGTAACATAACGCGGGCCGTAAGCGGGCCGGCTGGGACAAGCCGAACCGCCGGTCAACCGCCTATGCCGAGCGGAGGCCGACTGTTTGCCGAGTGTTTGGTGCTTACTTCTTTTATCTGCGAACATATGCTTTTACCCAGGTAGCACACTGTTGTTCGCTAACGTTTATATGACGTTAGCAACGTCATATAAACGTCAGCAGCAAATTTGCTGCCTGGGTACCCGCGAACGTCTGCTTTCATACGGTTTCACCCGCAAACATATGCTTTTATCTGAGAATCGTTTATATCTGCATTTTCCCGGGATCGTCTGCTTACGTCTGGTTTTATACGCGAACACCTGCTTTTTTTCGTCTATTTTTGTCCGGTTTTGTCTGCAAACATCTGGTTTTATCCTCGAGCATCTGCTTTTACCCGCCAACATCTGCTTTTATCCGCCAACATCTGCTTTTATCCGCCAACATCTGTTTTATCCGCGAACATCTGCTTTCATCCGCGAATATCTGCTTTCACCCGCGAACATCTGCAATCACCCGCCATATCTGCTTTCATCCGAAAACGTCTGATTTTATCCGGTTTTACCCGCAAACATCTGCTTTTATCTGCGAACATATGATTTTACCCGCGAACGTCTGCTTTCATATAATTTCACCCGCAAACATATGCTTTTATCTGCGAACGCCTGATTTTATCCGGTTAGTGCACCCCCGCAATCATCCGTAATTATCTGATTTTGACCGGCTCTACGGCATTTTGTTTATATCTGAATTTGTCCGGGATCATCTGCAAACGTCTGCTTACTTCTGGTTTTATCCGCGATTACCTGCATTTTTTTCGTCTATTTTCGTCGGGTTTTGTCTGCAAATATCTGGTTTTATCCGCGAGAATCTGCTTTTCCCGCAAACATATGCTTTTATCTGCAAACGCCTAATTTTATCCGGTTAGTGCACCCCTGCAATCATCCGTAATTATCGGATTTTGACCGGCTCTACGGCATTTTGTTTATATCTGCATTTGTCCGGGATCATCTGCAAACGTCTGCTTACTTCTGGTTTTATCCGCGATTACCTGCATTTTTTTCGTCTATTTTCGTCGGGTTTTGTCTGCAAATATCTGGTTTTATCCGCGAGCATCTGCTTTTCCCGCAAACATATGCTTTTATCTGCGAACGCCTGATTTTATCCGGATTTAACACTATTTAGTGCAGCCCCGCAATCATCTAGATCAGCGGTTCTTAACCTTTTTGGCTGGCGACTAGGGCTGGGAGAAGATATCGATATATCGACTACTTTTTTAACCTAAGACAAATATCGATATATCGATTATTCGATATATCGACTATTCGATAGGTATATCAAATAGTCGATATATCGAATAATCGATATATCGAATAATCGATATATCGAATAGTCGATATATCGAATAATCGATATATTGAATAGTCGATATATCGAATAATCGATATATCGAATATTCGATATATCGACTATTTGATATATTTGATCTGCTATACGGGGTTTCGAAAATTTGTTTCCAGTTAGGTAGGTATAAGATGTTTGGATAAAAATTTATATTTCACAACCGTTGAAGTTGGCGACTTAAATTTTGTTTTAAAAACTGTGTCCATGTTCTGACTACATTTGACTCGATATATATGTATAGAAATTTTCAATAATTCACATAGCTCTCTCTTGCATGATCTGCTCGCGCCGTCACACAGTGATTCGTTTGGTCCATCTAGCGGAACAAAAATACTGTGTTTATAACTTAAACTTTTTTTATATATTAACAAAAGAGTATTTCAAAAACATACTTAAAATATGTAATTTCAGCTGTGTTATTCTTAGTTTAGTAAAAAAATAATTATGATATGAAAAAAAAACAAAAGGAAAAACAATAAATATATCTTAAACATATTTGTTTTTGGATCTAATCTAAGTCGTCCGTGCTTGCATAATCTGAACTTTCTGAAGTATCACTGTTATCCGTGGATGATGCCGTGTCACTTGTTGAAGGTTCTTGTAGCAAAGCACGAGCTCCGGAAGAAAGAGATTTAAAAGATTTTCTTGGAGTTTCCCGCAAACTATTTATGTATGGATCAGAAGTGTAAAACAAGGAGTTGAAAAGGTCTTGCATTGTTGCTTTGCGAGAACATTTTCTGGTTGAGGATTCTCTTAGCTTTTTGATCTCTTTATGCCTGCACTCCTGAGCTTCCTCAGACATCAAACCAATTGGAAGAATTGCATGTTTTATTATTGAAGGGCCATGAACCAATAGTTTGTGGACTGTTACAGGCATACAATACCAAGGATACATTTCCAAATATCTAAAACAAATTAAAATTGCAGAAACTATTATGATAAATATTTCTTGTTACCTGTCCAAAATCACGTCGCAGTAGCTTTTGAATCTTTCGACGTTTATC